GCCACATCCTTCAGATTTTGACTCTGAAGGAGACTGAAATCCACATAGTTCTCTCCGACTCCATTATCTCTTAGACAGACTTCTATACTCTCTTACCTAAATGACTGTGGTCACGTCCTAACTAGTCTTCTTGCTTCTGGTATCCCATCTCACCACATTATTCCTGTTCTGCCAACATTCCCTCCACCCACTGAACACATGCTCATTATCCATTCTTCACCTATAGTGATAGTTTTAAACATGACACTGTCAATATTCTTATCAAATCCTTCTACAGTTCTCCCTTTCCTTTTGGATAAAGTGCACATTGTTCAGCATGGCTTCCAAGGTTCTGCATGATTCATTCCTGCTAATCTTCTGGCCTCATCCTGAACCTCTTCCCCTGTTGAAAGTGTACATTTCAGCTATTCTAATTTTCCTAATAACATCTTTCCAAACTTGCCACCTTTCTCTTCTCCAGGTCTTTTCCTGTTCCTCTCTTTTTCTCCCTTCCAAATATCTGTCCCTGTGCTGTCTGTATCACATTTTACTTGTTTTGATTGTCTCGGGTATCTGCTTACACGCAACTTCCTACAAGTCTGCCTTGATTGACCACTTAAATTTCAGTTTGACACCCTTCTTCTGTGTTCCCAAAGCACTCATCACTCACCTTAATTGCACTTGACACACACTGTTTTGTCTATTCTGCTCACTACTTTGGGAGCACTCCCAATGTATTTTTTTTTCAGATATTTACTCAGAATACTCAAATTCTTTGCCACATCGTAGCTACACAATATTTTTGTGAATGAGTAAAATAATGAATGAGTTATTGAAAAAATAATGTATAGAATGCTATCTTCTCTGCTCGATCTGTTATCTCTTCTCTATTTTTGCCAATCTGAATGGAACAGGTTTCCAAAGGCTTCTCACACTCAATCTTATGATTAAAAATATATTTTGAGCTCTGAGAATGTGCCAACTATTATGTGTTATAGCCAACAAGAAAAATCTCTACATACATGCAATTCAGGTGTTTCTGTAGGAAAAAGTACTCTCTATTTGTAAAAAACAGAAGCCTAACTATTCCTTGATAAGTGTTTTTATTCCCTGGAACTAGTGGCCATTCTCCTCCCAGTTCCAGATAGAATATGGGAAGGAAGAAGTCCATAAGATACAAAGCCTACTATTATGGTGAGATGCAACTAGGCTTTTGGTTTGAAGGTAATGCATTTGGGTTTGAAACCTCATTTGTCCATTTTCCTGTGAGCCATTATCAATCACAATAAAATGGGGGAAAAAACCACTATCCACCTGAAGAATTATTGTGAAGCTTAAGTGAATTCATAGATGTTAAAATTCTCCATGAATAAATGAATCTGCAAATAATAGAAGTCCTCATTCATATACCCAAAGGAGTTGACTATCCTTAGTATCTGGCAAGGGCACCTATCCCCTGGGAGTGGCTAAGGGAAATGCAGTAATTACTCCCAAATTGTCCTTCACCAAAATCTGTTCCCTGGGTTTTCTGGGTTCTCAGAGTGGCTGCTAAAAATGGATGCCTTTGTCACTGTCTGGATCTGGTGAAAAAGAGAGCGTGTACTTCCTTCCCACTTCAGAGTTGAGTTTGTGACATTTTCCCTGCACAAGATCTAAAGAAAAGTTAGTTCCTACCCTGAAGCTGACAGTAGTGCTTGCATTTATTACTCCTGAGATAGGTAAGGGCAGTGCCTATAGACTTCACTCAGCAATCAATATGTGTGTGTGTGTGTGAGAGTGTGTGTATGTGTTTGAGAATGGTCTTCTACAAAATCTTGCAGATGATTATACTTGTATCAAGCACTTTTATAGTTTTCGTGTATCATCTCAACTTAGATGGACAAAATAATTATTACTCTTTGGAGTTTACACTTCTCTAGGAAAACGCTATTTCTTTCACAGTTTTGTTGAATATCTGTCATGCATCCAAACTGTGAGCAAAACTCCACGTTTAATAAAATAATAATATAATCTGCATTGTTTTTACAAATAACTGTAAGCATGACTATACATAATTTTCTATTGTGTTTTCAAATATTATATCATGAGCTTTTCATGAATGAATTTTACTGGCTACATGATATTATTTCCAATGGATGTGAATAATAGTTGCCTTATTAACAGAAATTAGGAAGTCCATCAACCACATTTGCCAGGATCTGATCTGCTTTTTTTCTGGAGACCTCACAAATTCACTTTATGAGCTCTGCTCTTTCACTTTACTCTTTCTTTTCATTTTACTCTCTGTAAACCCCGTAGCTGGTATCCTAGTCTCTCTAGGCACTTCTGATCGTCTGATTAACAACAGAGGCAATATATCTATCAAAAGGCTTTGGGGAAATTATAGATCCCATCTTCTTCTCTTTAATGGGAAACACATATCCAGATGTCTCTTTTTCATCAAATCATGCTCTGCTGGAGGCACTATTGCTTGGTGGTTAGCAACATGGGTTTGAAATCAGATAAATCTGGGTTTAAATGATCTGTCCATCATTTTCATACTGAATGATTTTAGGAAAATTACTTACACTCTCTAAGCCCTAGTTTCCAAATGGTTAAATGAGAATAATTCCATTTTTGTGGTCCTGTTAGGCTGATACGATATACAGTACATGTCATAGCATCTGGCCTACATTATTCAGACAATAAATATTTGATTAATGAAAAATTATTATAATTTTATCATTATTATCATTGATATTAACATCTAGGCACATATCTTGAAACCATAGATTTTCATTCATCCTCAAACTTCCTGATTTACTTCTTGAAATTCTTGAGTGCTCTCAGGCAGCAAGGACTGTCACACTTGAGGATATAGTCAATGAAGGCAGGTAACACACTGGGAGAAATATAGTCCTTGAAGTCAGATAGACATGGGATCAAGTTCCAGGTTCACCATATAGTAGTACAATAACATTAGGCAAGTTTCTTCACTCAGTCCCAATGTTCTGAGGATCAGAATGACTATGTTGAAAGGTTGTGGGAAGTAGTGAACAGCACTTGAAAAGCACCTAGTGAAAATTAGATGGTAAATCAGATTTTTTTATTAATAATGTGACTATTTCTATCCCTTTATCAGTCATCTCAGACAAAGTGGAAGGACAGTAAATTTGTTATCAGTGTCTTCAGCCTCTGACTTCATTCCACCTGTAATCCCCAACAATCTCCCCTTCTCACTTTGTCTGAGGAGGTCGGTGCCCTTGTTCTGCCATCTAAATGTTGTTCCCAAATATTAACAGTTCCAAGCCATGCCATCTCAGTGAGACTGCTGGCCACAGGGCTCTGTCTTCCAGAGATATTTACTTTTAAATCTAATCTGTAATTGAGACTTTAAAATCTTTTTTTCTCCTGGTGAAAGAATTTCAGGTACCAGCAACCTATTAACGGTGGTATTTTGGGTAAGGGTGTGGAAGGCTCAACGCTTTTCTGGAAATCACACTGTACAGCCATAGTTCTTCACGGCACCCCACCCCCACCCCCACAAATGGATCCATAAAATCTGAAGACTCTCAAGAAAATTAGAGAGAGTAGTCCATCATTCATTTTCCACAATCCGTGATGACTGTGGCGTCAGGGTTGGGGCCAAGGTGCTGGAATCTGTGCAGAAGGCTTACTGTTTCTAGGACTGAGTAGCAAACTACCTTTCACCTGTTTCTCAGACAACTAACATATTCACAGATATTCTGATTTAATTTCTGATTCCAGACACTATAGGGAGCCAATTGGCTCCCTACACTTTGCAGCAGTCATTGAAAGTTGTCATTTGACATGAATTTTCACTACTGGATTCATTTGTTTCATAATTACACTATTCTTTTCACTCAGTTGGAGGTAGAGGAACCAGGACTCATACCTGGTTGTCTTCTGAATCCAGCTGAAAAAGTGATGGTGAGGCCAAGTCCTCATTATAAACGTGTCTGTTTCTAGACTCTCTATTTTCTTCCACTGTTTTATTAGTTTATCTTGTAAAATGCATTTTCTGTTGAAATCAATATATCTTTATAATCAGCTTTGATAGGTTATAGTGACTCCCTATCTTCTCTTTTAAAAAATATATAGACATTTTGACAACCATTGATTGGAGTTAGGAAATAAATCTCTTACAGTCTATTTTAGAGACAATGAAAAGATTAGAATTCCTTTTTATAATTATGTTTCATTTTTAGATTATACTTCTTTGAATGCAATTTCATGTGACAACTAAATAATATTATTATTAGGGTTTATTATTATTAGGATTATTAGGGTTAAACCTGAGTCTTGAACAAGGTCTGATGCAAGTTTCTTAAAGATACCTCTATGATGAATTTAATTTGAATATCTTATCTTTTACTGGCTAGACTAATTTATATTGTGTGTGCATTCATTTTCTTTGACAGATTCTGGGTCTACAGCCAATGAACAAATTAGAAATAATCTAAGATGTGTAGACAGGAGGAGGATACAGTATTAAAGAGATTATTACACAGAAAATTAGGAAGGGCAATGATATTTCTGATGTCAAATAATTTGTTTTGCTTCCAGAGACCAAATTCTGGAGTCAAAACACTTGGGCCCAAATCCCAGCTTCTCCTCTTCTTACCTCAGTGACTGTGAGACTGTCTGCTTCAGCTATCCCATAGGAAAGTGGAAATAATAACAGTCCCTACCTAGTTCATATACTTCAGACTGTGGAATCAGTTACTACATGTAAGCTATAAGAACAACACATAAGGACAATGTTTAATAAACACTGTTAGTATTATCATTTACAGAGACTGGGGCCAGATTGATAGGAAAAGTAGCTGTATATCATAAACCTACACTTCTACTTTTATCTGAAAAATATATGTCAAATATAAGAAAATATGGATGAAGACATTCTAAAAATCAAAAGAACATCTCTTTTATGCTATGCCACTATTATCATTTTTTTTATTTTGAGACATTCCTTTCCCCCTCAGCTTTCTACAGTAATCCCCTCCAGCTGATATATCAGTATGAGAGGAGAGAACCAGAGCAGCGTGTATGAGTTCCTCCTCCTTGGGCTCCCCATCGAGCCAGAGCAGGAGGGCCTGTTCTTCATCCTGTTCCTGGGCATGTACCTGATCACGGTGCTGGGGAACCTACTCATCATCCTGCTCATCAGGCTGGACTCTCACCTCCACACCCCCATGTACTTCTTCCTCAGCCACTTGGCCTTCACTGATGTCTCCTTCTCATCTGTCACCGTCCCTAAGATGCTGATGAACATGCACACTAAGCACAAATCCATCCCCTATGCAGGATGCATTTCACAGACATATTTTTTCATCTTCTTTGCTGCTTTGGACAGTTTCCTGATCACTTCAATGGCTTATGACAGGTATGTGGCCATCTGTCATCCTCTCCATTATACCACCATCGTGAGTCAGAGAGTTTGTATCATGCTGGTGGCCAGGCCCTGGCTCATTGCCCATGCGTGTGCTCTTTTGCACACCCTCCTCCTGGCCCGGCTTTCCTTCTGTGCTCACCACACTCTCCCTCACTTCTTCTGTGACCTTGCTGCCCTGCTCAAATTGTCCTGCTCAGACATTTCCCTCAACAAATTGGCAATCTTTACTGTGGGATTAGCAACAATTGTGCTTCCATTCTTAGGCATCCTGGTTTCTTATGGCCATATTGGGGCCACCATCCTCCAAGTTCCCTCTGCCCATGGCATCTGCAAAGCCTTGTCAACATGTGGATCTCATCTCTCAGTAGTGACACTTTACTATGGGGCAATTATTGGTCTGTATTTTCTTCCCTCATCCAACAATGCCAACAACAATAACATAATTGCTTCATTGATGTACACAGTGGCCATTCCCATGTTGAATCCCTTCATTTATAGCCTGAGAAATAAAGACATGAAAAAGGCCTTGAGAAAACTCCTGAGTAAGAAAACATACTCCTCCAGCTGATACTTACCTTTGTTTTAAAACACCTATATGAACCTATTTCCACAATAATATATAGCTCACTTGTCTTCTTTCCACAGCTGCTACTCAGAAATCTTTTCTGGAATTATTCTTGAAACTATTAGAGAAGTAAAATAGAATTTGGTTTATAGGACTTGAATAAAGTGGGGCTAAAGTTCTCTTGGATAGTGGGGATTGTAAAATACTTTGAGGGTTCTATGGCACTTCAGCAGTTATCATTGAATGGAAGCCATTAAAGCTGGTGGTTCCCCAATATTAAAGTTGTTACAAAATGTTTTTGGAGTTTCACATTTTCATTTCTAAAGAATTTTCCATTTTGGTGACAATATGGCTTCTCCTTTACCCAGGCACCCAAGCATTCAGGGACCATGATCCCTTTGAGGGAGAATTAATTAAATTTTACTTTCTTTATATGATAATCAACACACTGCTTTCTTGTCCTTCAGGAATATAACCCATACTTTCTCCCCAAACACATACAGATATTCAGCAACAAAATAAATGTCAACTCCTTTGTCTCAGGTACTGGTCAAAGAGCTTAATATGCATTAAAATCATCTACTTTAATCCTGATAACAACCCTAAGAAATATGGTGGGAAAACTCAGGCTCAAAAAGCTGAAGAACTTCTTAAAATTGCACTTAATGAAAGTAATATTTCAATCTTGGCAGAACTCCAGAGTTCTTCAACCAAGGACCATAATTGTTTACATGGAACGCTGTGTCCTGAGGAGGAATAATTAGCTCAGCAGGGGATATGAAAAATTTCCCGGAGAAGACGTTGCTTTACCTGAGACTTGACAAATCAGTATTATCTAGACACGAAAAGTTCTATCTTGTCTTGATGACCATAGGAAGAGGGAACAGCATGGGTCAGGATGTTAACCTAGAAGTTTCAACTGAGGCACCAAGATTTGATAGACAGAAGATACCAAAGTGAGTTGGAAGACCCAAAATGAAGATGTTTATAGGAAGTACTCAATGATCAATTTCATAACTAATTTTGTCTGTGTGTGAGGAAAATTGTCACTGAGCTAACATCTGTGCCAATCTTCCTCTCTTCTATGTGGGATGCTGCCATAGTGTGGCTTGATGAGTGCTGCTAGGTCCACACCCGGAATCTGAACCTGCAAACCCCGGACTGCCAAAGCAGACTTAACCACTAAACAACCAGACCATCCCCCAATTTCATCACTCTTGAGACTCCCAGCATAGATGTGGATCTAAAAAGTGATAGGAGCTGGAAATGAGGGATTCTTGTGAAGTGGTGGAGCTTTTTTTGAGAAAGCTGTATGGTGAGCCCCAAATCCTGCAAACAGAGAGGGGGGTACCCTTCTCCTCATACCAAGCTTAGTGGGAGAAGCTTCAAAAGAACCTTTTAGAGAGATTTATTTATATCCTTTGCTTTTATAAGAGTGAGAACAATAGGAAAAATGAAGTGGTAGGGCAGAGGGAGAGAATTGGAATTATGGAATAGAATTATGTTTGGGAAATACCTTTACTTCTTTTCACCGTAGGGCAATAAAAGCAAAAACGTTTCTGATGGACAACAGGTGGGCTATGTGAGAGAGATAAGTGATATGAAGCCACATTAAATTCCTCCCAAGAAAACCTATTAGTAAGCCTAGAAAACACCAGGAGAGAATAAGAGATTTGTAGTGGATGAACCACCACAAACAGGGGCTATGAGGTGAAGCATTCACAGGATGAAATATACTTAGTTAAATCACAGAGCATGTGTGTGAAGGCAGCCCAGAAGTCTCTGATTATCCCATGGCCCGGAAGTGACAAGAGAATGAGTCAGTTTTAACCATCATCCAAGTCAAGAGAGGTCAAAACCTCCTTAATATGGTAGTGACCAAAAAGGCATATATTGTCACTTCTTTCTCATTCTTCCTTCCATACTCCATCTCCAGAAGGTGGGTTCAGTAGCTGCAACTTTACTTGAGAAAAATAAGGGAAAAAGAGATAATATACCATTATGACTCCTTTCTGGACCTCAGGTTCTTGCCTGCAGCTGAATTCAATGAGAGAAATGGAAATTTAATTACAGAATTGAGGGAGTGTTTGTAATAGAAAGTAATCCTTACTCTTTCTAATACCTAAAGGTTAGAAGAGAATTTATGGGGTCTATAAGAGGTTTTCTTTTTTTTTTTTCAGTAGTAGAGGAAAACAATCCTCAACTAAATAAATTTTGAAATAACAGCAATAAGAAATTACATCTCCTGAGAGGTAACTTGTTCAACACTCCATATATCAAGGATGGTATATTGGATTATTGTTTAAAATAAGATTTACTCTTTCTTCCTCACTTCCATGGGAGGAATATACTTTCCCATTCCAATGATGTTAGGCTTGCCCTTGTGACATAAGGACTTTTTCATACCCCTATGTATCAATTAGCTCTTGCCACGAAAACACTAGATAACAAATGACCACAATATCTCAGCAACATTCAACGAATCTGAAGGTTAGTTGAGGCTTGCCAGAACTAATTTAAGCTTGGGATGGTGATTTTTCTGGACTTGACTGTTCTCACTCGTGCTTCTGTGGGCACCTACAGGTTATCTGATCTAAAGTAGGCTCATCTGGGGTGACTCTGCCCCATGCATTCCTCATCCTGTTCCTGATGCTTGTATATGGGCCCTCTCCCAGCCTCCTACCCAACCCCTCTTTCTTGTACTTAGATCCTATAGTAGATTGTGGTTAACTTAGCATCATCATCATCCGTGTCTAAGGCTTCTCCTATATTGCAGTGGTGAGTCTGGAAATTACGTTTTCCACATTTTTCTTTTCGGTATCGTTCATGTTTAAGGTTTTCCACTGAGAGGAACTTGTGAGAGATTTGAAGGTGGAAGAGAAGCCATTACTCTCTGCAGGAAACTCTAGCCAGCAATAGAGGCAAATGTGAGATTCACAGTAGTTTCCCATTGAGCTCCTAAGAGCCGCCTGCATTATTGCTGAAGACTGAGACATTTTGGGGAGTTTTTCAGTGATTCTTGAGATTTGCAGCTACTCTTCATTAACCTTTTGAAACTATTTTATGCGTTAGGCTGAAATCTTTAGTTTTAGCTTTTTTAATCTTCAAGAGCAACTTCTCTAACCTCTGTTCCCTAGTTCTTTCAGACTATCTCCAGTTTTATGGGCACACACCTTTGTTCTACCTTCCTGAAGAAATCCTTACTGATACACTTCCACTTAAAGATTACCTGTCATTTGTCTTCATCTATTTCTTAGAGTACTGATAAAATTACCTAATTGATACTTTCATTTTCAGTCAAGGGCATCTATTGCAAAGTAGTGGAGAAAAAATAAACTCTTTAAAGTTAGTGAATTTTAAAAATTTTATTATTAATATGAACAAACATTAAAATGAATCTCTATCTCACACTACCTTAAAACAATCAACTCAATGTATTTCAAGGACTGAAGGCAAAGTTTTACAATTTCACGCAAAAATATAGAACGCAATCTTTATGTACATGAGACATGGAAGTCTTTTTTTTTATTTTTAAAACTTCAGATGTATTTGGTTTGAGCCACACTGAAAAGCACATGATTTGCCAGCCAATGCCTGTATAAAAACCTATCAGGGATGGAAATAATCAAAGTGTTATAAAAACTGGATCCTGTTAAGTTATTATCAAAGCATACACTGTTGATATTCTTTTATTCTATTCTGATGAAATCTAGCTCAGCTTCTTATCACATAGTGTTAATTAGATCAGGGGCATGGGTTTCCCTGTAGGCATTTCACTGGATTCTATTTTTGAAGGTCACAAACTTCCCCCAGACTCTGGACAATGCCATGCACATATAAGCTGTTAGTTGTAAGGTGTTTGTGCATGTATATGTGTGTGTGTTAAATTAATATCTCTGAGTTTAGAGGACATTTTCTCTGACACGACTATATAGCACAGTATCAGTCTTGTAGGTTACTTTGCTAAACAACTCTATCCTTTGAGCAAGAGTCTAGGGTAGAACCATGTAATGCTGAGTTATCTGTAGCAGATTGTTCTAGAGGGGATTCCACTGGGATATTCGCACTATTTATGCAAATTCAAAACGTTCTCTCTGAGAAGAAATCTCAGTACACCCTTCCTCAGTCTCATTTCCTAATCTCACATCTCTTCTTTGTTGTCTACAAAACAGAATTGTTGCCATTTTCAAGGTGACATTCTCAACGAAGTACATTAAATTCAAGAATACAAATCATACAATAATTCATTAATAACTTTAATCACATTAAAATTAAGACTAATAGTAAAAAAAAGCTAAAGTAACAATCTTCAAATAATGGAAGGTGTTTGCAATATAGACAAGTGGTAAGGGATTTACTTTCAGATTTACGAGGTCTGTCTTACAATATAATAGATAAAAGAGAAGCAATCCAATAAAAAAAAAACCAAGGGAAATAAATAATCATGTATTTCACAAGAGAAAATTTTGTATCAATACTGAGAGTGATGATCAATAAGGATAGTGATAGCTGCTACAATGGTTCAGTGTGGGTCTTCTGATGGAGTGATGGCATTTCACTTTATGT